GCGCCCTAAACTTGCCGCCAGCGGCCTTAAAGAGAGTGCTGGGTCCACTCTTGGCTGGTATAGCAGGTGAAGTGCCAGGCGTAGATCCGAAGCTCGACGTCCTTGAAGGAGCTTGTGATAGACTGGAGGTGGTACTAGGGTTGCCCAACTTTGCTTTTTCCTCCTTCTTCAGCTTCTGGCGCAGCTTCCATGACTGGTGAGCGTAGATACCTCCAAAACCAACCCCAGCAGCTGCATGAACCCCCACGATCGTGCTGGGAATTGGCTCGAGGCTGTAAGAAGCACGACGATATGGACAATTGGCGCGCACACACTTGCTCACCCCAGTGCAATTTTGTCGTCGTCGCTCAGTCTTTTTGTGAGTTGATAGAGCTGCCTTCGCTCCAATTTTGGACCTCCGGAGGTGTCAGCGGCCTCGTGAACCTCGCGCTGCTCCCTCTGGGCGAGATGATGCGTTCTGCGAATTGAGTGTCAGTGAATTAGCGCATTGAAGGGCATGCCATGCCCCTTGCGCAAAGCAGCGAAACACAGCGCTCAAAGCTGGCCCTTGCACCGAGCAAGGAATAGCTCGCTGCTTTCGACGTGCCGTGCTCGAGTGCGGCGTCGCTTTAGACTCACAGTGCAGCAGAGGCTTTGTCAGAAGCTCTCGCGGTAACGACGACAATTGGAGCGTCTTTGACTGCAGTATTGCGGCGCGCAGTCGAGATTTCTCTAGCCTCCAATAAAGACTCTTCCGACAAGACTTCGGTGCTGTCGATAGATGATGGCGGTCGATGTCAGTGAGTAGCACCCTTGAAGGGAAGACAATTCCTATTACGAGCTCACTCAGACGTTGCGCGCTTGGTTGACTCTGACTGGCTGGAGACGTCTTCGGCGGTGCTGCGGAGATTTGATTTTCAACTCCCGTGAGGTCAGCTTTGCTTTTGGCGACCACTCCCGCAATGTGAGCTCACCCTGAAGTGTGGACGTCGCGCGTCTCGAAACGGCGATGTTGAGCTCGAGCATTCTGCATCTCCATCACCGGCACGGGCTGGGCTGTAGTGATGGTGATGCTCGTCAGCATAATAAGAGCGGTGATATTGGGAGCTTTCATCTTGGAAGAGGTAGGATGAGGAGGTGTAAATGACTAGATGAGTTGGTCGCTGCCTGTAGCGCCAACGCGACGAAGAGGATGGAGACCAGCTCCGGGTGAAATGACAGACTCGAAAAGAATGAGCCGTGTTTGAGATAGGCTTTGACCAGAGACCAGCTCTGTAGATCTCATAGGATGCGGGGTAAGACCAGCTTACGGGACTTGGGTGGATGTGAGCGAGGCCGAGGAATTTGAACGCGCAGCACTGCTGTTTTTATACACGCGGAGTTTGTGCCCACATGGTGGGACAGTTTGACTTGCGATTCTTGCGCGCTTTTGCAGCGGTCAGCGTGATGGGCGCCAAGGTCGGATGGCGCAGGCTTGGCTGCGTAGTTTGGGCGTCTCGCCGTCGCCAAGACAATCGTGAGTGCAAGTCCCGGTCGGACGCCCGCGAGGCAGGGAGCGCGGTACTTAATGACGTCGGTCCAGCCAGCATACACGAAGGAATGCTGGATGCCGCGCAGCTATCAGACGCCCGCGCTGCAGTCCCGAGGCTAGCGCAACACTCACCAACGACAGCGCGCCTAGTGTACCTTGTTCGATTGCGCTCGACAGGATTCTATACAGCTTTACTGTAGCTTGATGTTGAGACCACCTGTACAGCTGTCTATGCTTCTGACTTTCTCCGTCGTGCTTAGATGTTGCGTGTGCTCGCCATGTCTCAATCGCGCGACCGAAAACCTCTGCGTGAGCGCTCCTTGATGCGCGCGACGACACCAATGATTCATGTGCGCCTGATAACGAAGACCTGCCCTAAGCTTGGGTCAGCAAGCCAAGCGGTGTCATACTACGAAGCCTCGCTGAATCGACATTCTGGCCTGTGGCAAGCTCTTCCAGGGCTCGACCGAAAGTCGTCACAGCAGTGAACCAACGAACTGCTTCGATCCGCCGACAAGCGGGAAGATGCAGACTGATGAAACGGCGTCAAATGAATTCATTTCATTTTCGGCTACTTTTCTGTGGCTGCTCCGCGCAGTCGGATAGGCGTACCGCGTTCAATCAGAGCCTAGTCTTCGTCCCATCCCTTTTGCTGTGGCACCTGTGGCAAGACGAAGCGGTGCGCGGGAACGCGTTTTGTGGTTAGGCAAGAAGCAAAATTGGCGGATGTGGCAACTGCTTGATGCTCACCTTGATGCCGGCAGGCTTGGACATGATGATGCTGTCGACGGATAGGACCTGGACGGCAGCGCCAGTGGCGTACCTGAGGGCCCAGTGCTTCGCAGCCAGCACATCGAAGATTTGCGCCGGCGTGGTAGCAACTGTTCCATCATTCTCGCCCTGTCAGGGGCAATTGGGCGGATAGGTCAGGCGTGACTAATCCAGCGCAGCCTCACTGCGCCAAAGCACGGGAGACTTACATCGATGTCGATCCCAACATCCGCACTATCCTTGTTGGCATGCTTGGCAAAGACGGCGCTGACAGTCTCCGTCGCATCCAGACCCGCGTTTTCGGCCAACGTGCGAGGGACAACTTCCAAAGCTTCGGCGAACTTGCGAATCGCGTGCTGATGCAGTCCTGGCATCTTTTCCCCGAACTCGGCTACGCGCCTAGAGAGCTCCACCTCGGTTGCGCCTGCACCCGGCACTAATCGGGCATCCCTTGTCAAGGCTTTGATCACGTTGACACCATCATCTACTGCCCTTTCCACGTCATCCAGCAGGTTGGCAGTCGCTCCGCGTAGGACCACTGTAGCCATGCGAGGCTTCGCCTTTCCACCGACCTTGCCTTCTTCCTGCCTGAAGACAGTCACTCTGTCTCCACCAATCTCGGTCGTCTCCACCACATCTACCCATCCTGCCTCCTCGGGAGTGGGAGGACCCATGCGAGCGAGAGGCGTAGCACCCAGCAGAGTGCTCAGTCTTCTCAATTCGAATTTGCTGAGAATCTTGATGACCAGGATTCCGAATCGGTTCAAGTAGTGCATGGCAAGCTCCCCAACAGTGGACCCGGTGACGACCACCTTTACGCCGGAATCTGCAATCTGTCTGATGATGAGCTCCAGTGACTTTTCTTCGCCATGACTGAACGTCGAGAGCTCCTTGGCATTGTGTAGCAGCACCGTTCCTTTCGTCTCGGTCTGGCTGATATCCAGGCCGCAAGTAAAGACAGCCACTTTCGCAGCCTCTGCTTTGCGAACGACGCCCTCTGGTGTGCGGCCAAATACCATACCACGTACCACTCTAGAGTCGCTGAGTGAGCCGCCCATGATCTTGACTACGCGCACATTGTCGACGTTGAAGTCTTTCAAGAAGGCTGCGCTCGAAGATGAGGATGCACCTGTGCCGGAAGGAGCTTGAGGCAAAACGAGCGATACAGCTTGTGCAACGAGCGGCGCCAGCAGGTCCTCTTGGCCGTACTGTTTGGAGGCCAGCGCTGGACGGATGGCCAGGGCGAGCGACTCGACTGTGGGCGGCGATGTCAAAGATGCGACAGAGAGGTCTATGAGAAGAGGTAATGTGTGTCAATGGCCTGCTCGCGCGCCGCGCGCCTGCAAGAATCTGATCAACTCACCTTCAAGCTCTTGTACGGCCTTGTCTCTGGCCAGCTCGTAGCCTTGGAGCACTTCGGTAGGGTGCAGGCCCAAGGTGATGAGCTGAGCAGCCTTTTGCAGCAGCTCGCCGGCTAGCATGACTACCAGCGCGCTGCCATCTCCCAGCTCGGCTTCCTGTTGCTGCGAAGCGAGCACCAACAACTTGCCGATGGGGTGTACGACATCCAATTCTCTAAGGATGGTGGCCGAGTCGGAAGTGACAAATGTCCTGCTCAGGTGGTTAATGACGATCTTGTTCTTGCCATTGGGACCGAACGATGTCCTGAGCATGCCGCTCAGCTCGGAAGCCGCTTCGATATTCCTCAAGACGGCATCCTCGATACCTTGAGAGATCTTGTAGCCATCCTTGAAGATGGGCGTGCCCGCCTTTGGCACTTTCAACGACATGTCGGCAGATTCGAATGTGGCCGAGCAGTGTGCTTGTCAGCTCTGGCTTGACGTGGTGAGGGAGAGCGTAGAGAAGGCCTCGGCTGGTTGCTGCACGAAAGGCTGATTTCAACACTGCTCTC